TCTTCTTGCCTCCATCCAGGTGCAAGTTCTCCAGGTCCCGGGGGAGGCCAGCTCCCTGAGGGAGACTTTAACGTGAGTCTTCCCTTCTTTCCAGGTTTTTGACTTTGAGTTGACGCCAGAAGACATGAAAGCAATTGACGGCCTCAACAGAAACTTACGATATTGTGATACAACTTCGTAAGTGACTTGTAGGTCGTTTCTCTTGCGTTGTTTTCTGCAGCAGGCCTGTCAACAGAGGAAGTGAGCCTTCTTAAATCAGCAAGACAGTCCTGATTTCCAGGGTAGGAGTAAACTAGGAGCTTCCTGTAGACCTCAGATCAGAGGGTTCCCTTGGGGCTCAGTCTCTGAGCCAACAGAAATGTGCGTGGGGCCAGGACAGCGCATGAGCAGAATGAGCAAAGCCCACATTATGGTGAATTCACTACATGTATGCCCCTCACCCCTGCGCCTGGCGTGTTTGCTCTCAGGGACGGTGCGCCCATTAGACATGGAAGCCACAGTGTGTACAGCCCCCTATTCTTTTAGGGACCTCTGAGAATGCTTCACTTTTCATTTTTATTAAAATCACGGGAAAATGATTATATTAATAGTGATGGTATAATAATGAATCAAGCCAGGATTACGTTTGTTTTTATCCCAAGGCAACTGTCAAATGTAACATTAATACTTTTTATGGAGGAGGGAGCATAAAAAGGCCAATGTGTGTAGGTGCCATGAAGTCACAGCCTGGCCCCGCTTCCACCCCCTCCCCTCAATGTCTGGTGGCTTTTCTCCTTACTGGTCTTTTGTTTTTCAACACACTATCCATTTGTTCCAAATTTATCTCTTCACTGGCATTTCTTCCCCCTATCCAGCTCCATGTTCCCATTCTTGTAATCTCACCAAACTGAGTTACAAATGGATCACGAACTTCACTGACTCTGCACGTAGCGTCTCCTGTGTCTTCTGTAGGACACACACAGATGAGGTCATCTGGATTCCTCTGGTTTCTTGATTCAAGAATTACTTCCATGTTGCCTTTGTCCAGACACTATCCTCTGGGGAGCTCCTATGTCCTTGACTTTGACTTATTCACACACATGGAATTCCACGTTGAGTTCCTGCAGGAGAATGTCAGGATTGAAGAGAAGGAAGACTCATCAAGCTGAGAGAAGTTTGCAGTATAGAGAGAAGGGGAATACAAATTAGTGATAAAAGGAAGATGTATTTTCAAAAGAAAGATTTAAAAACTTTTTTCTTTTTTGTAAAGCTACATCATGATTCTGAGAAAAGAGATTATAACTGAAAAAGAGGTGGAAAGTTGCTTTTCTACACTCAAAAGCTCTCAAGTATAGTTCTATGTTCTTCCTCATTAGGCTGTAAATGCCTAGATTTACTTATCTTTCTAATCTCATGTCAACAGCATGGCTCTTGGCGCATGGAAGTGCCCATGATGCACCCTTTAGTGAAATTAAATTGCAAAAGATGAATTTAGTGGGAAGGGTATAGCTCAGTGGTATAGTGTGCGCTTAGCATGCACCGGGTCCTTGGTTCATTCCCCAGAACCTCCACTAAAGAAAAGAAGACAAATGTAGAAAGAAAAATAGAAACTTGGGGAAAAAACAGAAAACAGCAGTAATGTTAATTACTGAATTTTTATACATTATCAGCTAAGTAAGTAGTCATCCCATTTTGTCAGTGAGCTATGTAGGTGTACATGCTATCTTCTCAAGAGATCGGAAGTTTATTTACAGCGCCCCTCTGTTCTGGGGTGCTGTGTGTTTATATGTTGGATGAGTGTGTGACCAGCACATGTCTTACTGTGAACATTGCCATCATCTTGGGCCAGATGTTCCACCTGAAGCTGAACTGACCTTAACATTTTAGGTATAGTTCTTACACCCCTTATAAATTTCAATTTCAATCGAGAAAAATATCACCATGGCATTTATATCGCGTGGGAATGTGGGAATTGGGCAGGAAGGCGCAGTTTGCACAGGGACCGGGGTCTGCATGTACGTGTATCGGGGTAGCAGAAGGGATGTGGTTGTAAATTTAGAGGTTTAGCCCATCCTGACTCCCTTCACAGAAAAACAGTCTCTCTGACAGTGTGATACTGAGTTAATAAAATCAACATCTCTCCTTCTCTTTCAGTTTTAGTGATCACCCTGACTATCCATTTTCTGAAGAATATTGACTGTGAGCTCTCCACCATGAGTTCTGTCTGAATGTATTGCTTCTAGGGGTGTGGGAAGAATTTCTGTACCTGGCGGAGCTAATTAAAAGCAGTGTCTCTAGTTTAAGGCTTCTTGTATTTTTTTAGTGAAATAATAGACTCCAAATTAAGGATACTTAGGAGGGTGATCAAAAGGCAGACCTTGCCTTCAAGAAGGAACTTGGACCCATTTCCACCCACAAGGACAGAAGAAAACCTCTGCATGTAGAGGAATTATAACTGCAGACTTCCTGAAGAGTAGAAGAATGACTGTTTTCCACCCACAGCTATCAAGAGACAACCTCACAGAGTCTAGTAGAAGGGCACGAGAAGGGGTCCAGTCAGGACCCACAACCTAGCAGGTGACCGGGAGAGGAGAGGCATAAACAGGCTCAGGGATACCTCCTTGAAGGGAGAGGGGTCCAAGCCCCACAGAGGGCACCCCAACCCTGGAGACCAGCATTGTGAATGAACCCCCTTGTCTGGTTTGAAAATGAAGGACTGTAAGAAACCATGACTCCACTCCTCAAGAGCAAGTGCAGGACTGGATTGCTCTCAGTCCCAACACAGAGGCAGCAGATCAAACACTGCTTGCTGCTCTGGCCAGCCTACCGGGACCACCCCAGTGGACCCCACTTCCTGCACAAGTTTCCTGATCCACAACCCCCTCCTCAGGCCCTGATCCCCACTAAGGCTGAGGCTGCCATCATGCACAGAGGAAAACTGGAGCCAGCTCAGCGGTGTGGCTCCAGCCTTCAGAGCCCCAGCCCTGCCCCCAGCCATTGTGCCATCACTCTGAGAAGGAGCTGAACATTCTCAGGACTGCTGCTCTGGCCCCTTGGGCCCCAGCTTCACTCCCCCAAAGGCACAAATTGATACTAGGAGAAGCCTCAGTTCACAGCTAACTCTGGCTCTAGTCCTTCTAACTCCAACCCTATTTCCCAGCAACACAGCAATGTCAGCTCACGTGGGGAAAAGACTGGCCCATGATCACATCAACCCAGCTCTAAAAACCAAAGCCACTGGTCACAGGCAGACTGCAGAGAGATGCTCTCACACAAGGACACCCCTTAGACTCTGGAATAGGTGACCCTTTACCTAATCTCACAGAGACAAACAGATAAGGTCAAACAAATTAGAAGAAAAAGACACATGTTTGAAATGAAAGAAGCAGATAAAACCTCGGAAAAGCCCTAATAAAACAGAGAGAAATGATTTACAAATAAATAATTCAAAACAATAGTAATAGAAATGCTCACTGGAAGTGGGAAAAGAAAAGAGGAACACAGAACTTCATTAAACAAGTAGAAAACATAGAAAAAGACCCAATGAGAGCTGAAGAATAAAACAACTAAAATGCACAATACAGTAGAATGAATGAACAACTGTCTAGGTTTTACAGAAGAATGCATAAGCAACCTGGAAGACAGAAAAATAGAAATCACTCAGAAGCCAAAAGAAAAAAGAATTTCATGAGGATGGTTTTAGGTACTGTGAGACAACACCAAGTGGAGGAACACTCACATTACAGTGGTCCTAGAAGGAGAAGAGAGAGAGAAAGGGGCAGAAAACATATTAGGTAAAATTATGGCAGAAAAGTCCCCAAACCTGAAGAAGGGAAAAGATATCCTGTTTCAGGAAGCACAGAGAGCCCTCAAAAAGATGAAACCAAAGAGGTCTAAACCAAGACTTGTAATTAAAACGTCGAAAGTTAAAGAGAGAACGTCAAAGACAACAAGAGAAAACAAAGTCCCATGCAAGGCAATCCCCATAGACCATCCACTGACTTTTCAGCAAAATGTTGCAGTTGAGAAGATCTGCATTGTCATTCCCCTTCGCACCTTCTGCGGTTTTGTCATTGTGTATTACGTCTTCATGTTCATCCCTAAACTGTTCATTGTAGTTACAGCTGATTTTACAAGTTTCATCTTTTAATCCCCTTACTAGCTTAGGCGGCTGACTCCAGCCTTTACTGTACACCTAGCAAATCCCACTTAGTGGGGATTTAAAGGAGTTTTAAGGGATCCGCATTTAAAGGGATTTTCTCTTTCCTGGGAATTCTTTCTTATGTTTGTAGCCTTTTCTTTTCCATTTACAGAAGACCCTTTGGCATTTCTGTTAGGAGTAGTTTATGACTGATAACCTCTTTCAGTTTTTGATTGTCTGAGACGTTCTTGGCTCTCCTTCAATTCTGAGTGATAGTCCTGCTGAGAAGAGTATCCTAGCTTGTAGGGTTTCCCCTTTTAGCACTTTGAACGTGCCACGTCGCACCTGCCTGCCTGCAAAGCTTCTGCAGAAACGCCGGCTGACGTCTGATGGTGCTCCCCCGTGTGTGGTGCTTTGTTTTTCTCTTGCTCTCTGTAGAATTACCTCCTTATCTTTAGCTCTTGCCATTTCACTTAGAACATGTCTTGGTGAAGGTCTCTTTGGTTTCATCTTGTTTGGAGCACTCTGTGCTTTCTGCACCTGGATATCTGATTTTTTCCTTTGCATTTAGGAGATTTTTGGACATAAGTTCATTGATATATTTTCAACCATTTTCTCTCCCTCCTCTTTGAGGACCCCTGTAACGCAAGCGTTAGTTTTCTTGATGTTGTCTCAGAAGTCCCCTAAACTGTTCCTGTTTTTACTGAATCTTGCCTGGTCTGTGTGTGGATTTTTCATTTCCCTGAACACAGGGCTGCTTTTTGAATCCCTTAATATCCCCCAAATTTACATCCTAATTCTACTTAGAGACTGTGTGCTCTAGTCTATGCCACCTCCTCCAATCCCGTGTCCCTGGTCACCGTGCATGGATGCTCCCCCTGCAGCTGGGATGAGCCTGCCCCTCTGCTCTGCATTTTCCCTAATTGGATGTTGACTTTGTTGCTGTGGATTTTTGTTTGACTGTTTTCCAGAGCTCCTGTAACGTTTTTCAGCTAATTACTGGAGGTTTTTTCTTACATTTCTCTGGGAGAATCCAGCCTGTTCTAGTCTGCCATTGTGCTGACATGACTCCACATGTTAAATTTTAAATGGCCTCACAACATTCCATTGTATCAATGTGTCATGATTTCCCTAACTCATCTCAAATTTATTATAATTTAAACTGTTTTGAAGTTTTTCTTTTATGAATAATATTGAGCAGGATTATAAATTGTATAAAATATCTATGATTTGGGGAGACTTAAATCATGATTGTTTTCTAAAAGTTATGCACTAGGTGAAAGATATAAACACTCCAAGATTCCATCTGGGCCCTGCACATGATAACCAAAAGTATTAATAATTAACCTTCAGCAAGCACCTTTCCAGAATGCCTTTTTTGTTACCCTTTTCAGGACTGCACTCTTGTCAGGACTGGATATTCTTATTAAAAAGCAAAGAAAAAGAAACAAAAATGATTTTGCTATTGGAAAAGGTAAAAAGGCAAATTTTCTTTCAAATTGAAGTTTTAATTCTTTACTAAGTGTTAACATTTTGAAAAATGCTTATTAACCACTCCTTTAAATTATGTGATCATGTTTGTGTGATAGTGTGTGTGTTGTGTGTGTGTGTAGTTAGCACAGCTAAATGTTTCAAATGATACATCATCCAGAAGATCAAGATACTTTTAAAAACAAAAAGGATGTTGGTACATGGAGGTGTCTAGTCTAACATATGCTTTTTAATTGTTCAGCAATCTCCTGTAATAATTTACGACAATGTAAGTGTATCCGTAATTTTAAATTTACTCCTTAAAAGTATGAGTTAAATTGTGCAAGAAATTAATGTATTTTTATTATTATATAATAATTTACTTAAGACTATGTTGATTAAAGTACAAAGAAGTTAACTGGTTTCCAGTATCTTCTTCTTCCATGGGTGCTGCTTCAACCTGCTCCTCCTACAGTGTGTTTTCTAACATTTGGGCCGTGCAGTTGGGGTGGTACCTTCCTGCTATTTATAACCTATGAGTGAAGAAGGAAAAGTCAAAGTCCACTTAGAGGAGCTACAGGCAATGGATCCCAAACATCGGCGTCAGGAACTTACTGATGGCCGCTTCATTCCTGTGCTGGGATTTGGCACCTTCGCACCTGAGGAGGTAACAATAGTGATCTTAGGGTTGAGGATTTAAAATAGATGTAGCATGAGTGGAAACAACCTGGATTGTAAATTCACTGAGTTCCTGGGTGACTCTGGGAGGCCCCCTTGCTTCCCCTAACCAGCCAAGAACCATTCCTTGTCACGGGGGAGAAAGTACTCAGTCTTCACTGTGCATCTTGTTCTGAAACTGTGGTCAATTCCAGATCATTCTGGGTTTCTGCCCCCCCCAGATTCTGTCTCTTTCGCAGCTTGGCAGAAGAGGTGGAACTCAGCTGTCAGGAGACTGTTAGCTGCTTGGCTTTAAGGGTGATGGCAAGGGGAGTGGTTTCTCTGCATATTTCATCAGCTCAAGAAATCTTTTCTCCCTCCAAGACATAATCCAGAGAAATATTTGAGGTAAAAAGTCCTGCAGATGAAGTAATTGAAAAACGATAGGAGAGACTTGCTTCTCTGCTGTGGGGAAGCCTGCTGGGTGCCCGGTGAGAAATACTCCCCCTGTGTCTTACCTTGTACGCTTGGGAACGTATCTAGAATAGAAAATAAAATATCGTTTGAAGGAATTGTTATGGAAAGACAGGCCAGCCAGGGAACAGGCACCACGCGGAAGGCTGGAGCACTCAGATTTATTATGCCGGCGGGCTCAGAGTGGCTTCTGCTCCGAAGCTCTGAGCACCTCCAAAATGTGTGCATGAGGTTTTATAGGGTTCGTTACAAGCTTGGAGTATTCGACCAATAGGCATGGAACAGCTTTAGCAGCATCATTATCACAAAGCAGAGGCAGGGAGGCAGGAAACCGACACTCCAAGGCCAGTCATGTTTCGCTGAAAATCCAGCTGGCTAGCAAAAAAAAAAAAAAAAAAACCATGAGCAGGGATCAGCAAACTGACACTTACTAACTTAGATTTACGAGTTAGCCCAGCAGAACGCAGATCAGTGATCTGACCCTTGTTAAACTTAGATTTACGAGTAGGCCCAGCCTGGCTTTTCCTTCACAGGATGAGCTACAATATTACAGGGTCAGGTCTCAATTCTTGGTCCTTGTTACTGTATTTTGATTGAAACATAACCTTCAATACTCGACATCGAGGGACTAGTGGACAACCTGTTACTAGCCTGGAAGGCAGAGTTTGCCTTCCAATTTTGTCGTTAGAGTATTTATTTGTATGACAAGGGCTGGTACTGGAACTTTGAGTCTTACTTTTCTCCTCTAGAAAACAGAAAGAAATACTCAGAGACACTTCACCGAAGAAGATATACAGATGGCAAACATGCATACGAGAAGTTGCTCACCATCATTTGCCACAATGGGTTTGCAAGTTACGGAAAAAAACCCAAAAACAAAAAACAACCGTATGATTGATTCTCTCACACACCTACTAGAATGGCTGAAATCCGAAACAGCGATGACAGCAAATGCTGACAAGGGTGTGGAGCAGCAGGAACTTCATTCATTACTGGTGGGAATGCAAAATGGTGCAGCCACTTTGGACGACAGTTTGTGGTTTTTAAAAAACTAAAAATTCTCTAACCATATGAGCCAGCAATTGTGTCTTTTGGTATTTACCCAAATAAGTGGAAAACTTTTGTCCACACAAAGCCATACACACGGCTGTTTATGCCAGATTTTAACAATTGCCAAGTTGTGCACATAGGTTCATCAGATATGGTTCCATAATTCTATCCACACCGTGGAATCTCAATCAGTGTTAAGAAGTAATAAACTATCAACACATGGAAAGACTCAGAGGAACTGTTAATGCATTTGCTAAGTTTAAAAAGCCCATCTTAAAAGGCTGTCTACGCTCTGTTTCCAACTGGGAAGTGCAAAAATGTAGATACAGTAAAAGATCAGTGTTGCCAAGGGTTTGCAGGGAGAGGGAAAGGGAGGCTGGGAAGTGGAGTACACGGGTTTTCAGGGAGGCGAAGCTATTCTGTATCATGTGTACAGTAACGGTGATACATGTCCACATGCACAAGGCTGCTGTACAACAGAAAGTGGGAACCCTCATGCGATCTACGGCCCTTGGTTCCCGGTAAGGTAAAAATACTGGCTCATCAGTTGTAACAAATGACCCACAGTTAAAGCAAAATGCCAAAAACAGGGCAAAGTCGGGGAGGGGAGGGGAAGTCCGGGAAGTCTCAGAACTTCGTGCAGCTTTCCTGTCATCTAAAACTACTCTAAAAATAGTCTGTTATGGAAAATTAATAATGCGTGTGGTCCGATTTTTATTCCTTCTAACGGTTTATTCCCTTTAATGAAAAATGAGTTTTTTGGAGTCCCTGTGAAGAGCCAGGTTCTGCGGCTGCCTCCTAACGCCGCTGGTAAGGGACCCGATGCCCCTGCAGTCAAGCCATCCGTGCTGCTAATGGTTCCAAGGCCTACGCGGGGGAGCCGGACTGGGAAACGCGGCCGCTCTCTGGCAGTCGCCTTCGACTGGGCGAAGGGGGTTTGGAGGTTGTCAGGCTAATTCACATGAGACTGTGCAGAGTAGTTTTGGAGAAACTGGTTTTCAGAAGGATGTTTCCATCGTGAGGAAAGTGGAACCAAACCTCGAGGGACCGTCCACACCTGTGAATTGACCTACTTACCTCTGCAGCTTTGCGGCAGCTCTCAGAGGCTAGGCATTCCCTGCCTTCATGTTTAGAGTTGCCAAAATTCTTTCATAACCTGCAGAGCAAAGTCAGCCTTTCTTTCCATGCCGATGTGCGGTACCGTAAAAGTGAAGAGAAATTGCCTGGGAATCTAGGAGGGTCCAGAGATAAAGGCTGAGCTGGCAGGCCTGCGGACGGCACCGACACCTGAGGTGGACTGAAAGATAGTCTGGTAGCTGTAGAGCTGAGCCAACTGGGGCAGAACTCTTAGTTCAGTGATAATTTCTGTATTTTTCTCTGTGGAATGGAAGCTGTCAAAAATAGTCTTTGCCAGCAAGATCCCATGGAAACACACAGAAAAATTATAGGTCAATGTATCTGATGGACAATTAATTTGCAATAAAGGAGCAAAGAGCATACAAACCAGAAAGAATAGTCTCTTCAATAAATGGTGCTGGGAAAACTGGACAGCCACATGCCGGAAAAAAAAAAAAAAGAACCGAGTCCAGTGTTTCACATCATCACAAAAATCAACTCAAGATCAGTTAAAGACGTGAACTCAAGACCTGAAACCATAAAAGAAACATAGGCAGTACGCTCTTTGCCATCACTCTGAGCAATAGTTTTTCTGGATATTCCTCCTCAGGCAAGGGAACAAAAGCAAAAGTATGCACATCGGCCCACATCAAACTAAACAGCTTCCGCACAGCAAAGGAAACGTCAACATCACGAAAAGTGCTTTTGTGTGGTCTTTGTCTGGTTTGGTACCCGGTGATGTTGGCCTCGTGAAATGAGGAGGGAGTGTTCACGCCTTTTCAATATTTTGTGAGGCTTTGAGAAGTGGAGGGGTCAAGTGTTCTTTGAATGTTTGCTGGAATTCACCTGTGAAGCGGTCTGGTCCTGGACTCCTGTCTCTTGGGAGGTTCTTGACTGCTGTTTTAGTCTCTTTACTGGTGGCCAGTCTATCCAGATTTTCTACGTCTTTGTGATTCAGCCCTGGAAGGTTGCGTGATTCTAAGCATGTGTCTATTTCTCCTAGGCTGTTGTACTAGGGCGACAGTTACCTGATTAAGGAAGTTCTTTTAAGGGCAGTAAAGTCAAATGGGGGAATAAGCAGGCGAGTAGGAACTCGACTGTACAGAACGTTGAGAACATGCCCCAAGAGGAGGCGCGCAGAGAGGCCGAATCAAGGAGGCCTGGAGCGAAGTCCACAGAACCCCAACGGGCATTTCCTCAGTCTGCAATCCCGAGAGTGACCTTTGGAACAAAAGGAAGATACCAGTAGCTGAGCTGGCTTTGTGAAAGTTTAAAGGTCTCTGGAGAATTTCGATACTCAGCAAGTCGGAGGTAGAAGCATTTCTAGGCAGTTAGGGCCAACATCAGAGGTCAAAGTGGAAGGACATGGGGATCTAAACAGAGGGAGTCAGCAGCATGAGGGCTGAGAAGGAGGCATTTTAGGAATCTGAATACGTCAGGGCTGGCACAGGCTGGGAGGTTCACTGTGGCGAAGGGGAGCAGAATGTGTCACCCCCCACAATATGCCATATCTTGGCATGTTGATTATTTTTAACTGAAGTTACTTAAGAAACAGTCAATGCAACAAGGACACTCTGACCCTCCTTGGTCCCCCTAAAAGCGGGAAATAAATCTCCCCAGTGAAAGTTTCCCTCTCTGCATCAGAAGTGTGACAGGCAACCTTAGCAGAGACAGAGAGCTTCGTGGAACGGACTCTTAACAAGTGCACTAGAATGCAGGCTTCTGGTAGCTTTCAGATCATGCGGCTGAAATGGGTAAGGAATTGCAGAACTCCAGTGCAGACAGCTGATGGCTCCGTACAGCTGCTAACAACTGATGGCTCCATACAGCTGCTAACAAAAGATCAAGACCAGTAAGAATTAACTATGTGAACTGATGAGGGTGATTATAACTTGGGGGACTGTTTGCTGGTTCTTTAATGTGTTGTTGTTGTTTTTTCCAGATTTGGAGAAATCTTTTCTCTATGACTTACAGAAATTGAGCAAAATGTATCTTTGTGAACAAGAATGAAACGTTCATCTTTTTCTGCTTACCTGGCCCCTCTAGAATTCAGAAACTCTTAGTGAATATTTTAATTTTCATGGTAATATAGTCATTTGCATGGGCTCAGTAAGAATCTATATTTGTAATAGGGCATAATTAAAAAACATTGGTTATATTACCAAGGCTTTGGCTGGAATGTCATATTTGAGAGACACGTGTATCGACTCGGATGCGACAGATGCCTTTAAGGAGCCAAGGGCGACTTTGTGGAGCCAATAAAGCCCCTGGAAAAAAATTAGCCTGGCTCCTTGTTTACAGGGTTCCCAGGAGTTTTGCCAGGTGAATAAAGAATGTCACTTCTTGGCAGGCCCAGAAATCTCAGGATATTTTGGGGACTTCAAGAAGAGAGAAATTAACCCAGCGTTACAGGCGTAGCAGGCAAAGTTATGGTGAATTTTTGGCTTGACGTCCTAGCCTCAAGAGAGTTTTAAGGGTTCAATCTAAGATTCTTCATGAAAAGGTCCAGCAAAGGAGCCTGAGAAAAAGCACGTACGATCCGTCGCTGTTCTTGCTGCGCTTAGGAAACCGACTTAATCTGCGAACAGGTCAGTCTTGCTACGAGGATGTTCGGCACCAGCCAGCCACCCAGCGGAGACAGAGACGGTGGTGAGAATTGCCAGGCACCCTACATCCTTCCGCCTGTTCAGCACAGAGTGAGCTGTTAAAAAGCCCCCGCTCCTAGCTCCGCCTGTTCTTAGGGGAAAGAGCTGGTCCATGCGTCCAGTGCTCCATCTTCTCTGGGGCTGGCCAGAGACCTAGTTTTACCTGCCTTGAAACTCTGATGGATGTAGTGCCATCTAGCTGTTACGACTAGAGCTGTGTGTTTGTCTCTTTGCCAGGAACACATCTGGCAGTTCCTCAGAATGTTCAATGTGGATTTGCCATTTGACCTAGCGGTTTCACTCCGAGGGGTGTATCCAAGAGAATTAAAAATGTGTGTCTACACAAAGACTCGTACATGAATGTTTATAAAAGAATGACTGATAATAGCCCAAAAGTGGGAAAAGCCAAATGTTTATGAATTATAAAAATGCAGACGAATATATAAATAAAATGTGGCACACCCAATACGACAGGATATTATTTAGCCATAAGATGGAATGAAGCACGGATGCGTACTTGAATGTGGACAAACCTTGGAAACATTATGCTGAGTGAGAGAAGGCAGGCAGACAATGCTGCGTTTGTATGAAGGCATTTACATCAAACGTCTAGAATGTGCAAATCTACAGAGACAGGACGCAGCTGCCAGGAGCGGGAGGGGACGAAGGGTGGGGGCTTGTTTCCAATGATTGTGGGGCTGCTTTGGGGGTGATGAGAAGGTTATAAAGTTGGTAGTGGTAACAGCTCTATGAATATACTGAAAGCCGCCGAATCGTATATTCTAAAGGGGGTGATTTTACGATGCGTGAATTGTGTCTCATTAAAGCTGCTAAAAAAAAACACAACAATTGTACGATTTTCTTCCTTCCGCAGATTTCTCTTTGAGAAGAAGAAAATCAGTATTTGTTTAGCCAGAGCAGTGAGAGAAGATGAGTCAAATGAGGCTTTTTTCCTTAAAGATGAATGATGGACACTTCATGCCGATGCTGGGGTCGGGCACTTCTGCTCCGTCTAAGGTACCCATAAAGGTATTGGAGGTGGGGTGGGTAGCGGACTTGGGTCCTGATCAGAACCAGCCACTGAGGGACTTCGGGGAGTCCAGGTGGGCCTCACTGTCTTCATCTGTAACATGACTCTCTCCAGAGTAGGTTGCTTTGTGCAGTGTCAGTGCTTTTCAACTTTTAACAGGCAGACATATATCTGAGAACCTTGTTGAGAGTGCAGACCTGGGGGCTCTGCCCACAGAGGTTCTGATCAGTAGATCTGGGATAAGGCTCACAAATCCACGTTTCTGACGAGCCGCCAAGTGGCTCTGCTGCTGCTTGTCCAAGGGTCAAACGCTGTCTGAAGTGTTCTCTGAGTTTACATCGGTAAATCACTAATTTATTCTACCTGAAATTATACCTTCATTGCATTGATAATGTTTAGCACTGAAGTTCTGGATTGAAACCAGTCTAAGGATCTCTTGGAGAGTGACTTAATTTAGAAATTGTATAAATCTATAGGTCATGAGATAGTGTAAATCCAGAAACAGAGGGTTAAA